TCAGGATCGATCACTGATGTACGAATGTTGTCAGTATTTGGTAACGCGAATGGAAGCAATGTACCCGGAACTTGTAAAAGATGTCACTGAATTTGTTAAGGTTTGGTTTTTTTTAACCTTTTGGTTCTCATCGTAAAACTCAAAAGCTTTTTCGGTATTTTCTCAATCGAAAGCAGTGACGTTCGGTTGCGAAACATGATCACTGACAAAGCGGATAAAGGATATACGAACTGTGATGAAACATGTGATAAAGTTGGAGATTTCTGTAAAGTAGTCAGCACAACCTGTGATGAATTTTTCTCCAGTCACTGCTTGTTTAATGAGTTGGGCCTTATTGTTTTCGGGATGAAGTGATACAGGTTCCTACCTTTCACAAGAGACATAAAATTATAAATCTGTTTTTGCGGGAAACCTATGACGTTTGAGCTTTTTTTTTAATTCAAATATTTCCTTGCTTTTGGCAATGACATCTCGCGTGCCGCTCATCTGACGGAAAGTTTGGTTGTTGCTTGTGCGATCACGAATTGACCCGCTAATTTACAGGAACTTCAACGAATTGATATGTTGCATGAAGAACGCTGGATTTTTGTTCTGTCAAATCTCGACTATGAAATGAATCGCCGAATTGCACAAATCGAAGCGGAAAAAGCGAAAACTCTGTCGAACTCTTACTTGACCATTGAGCAGAGGCGGGAGCTCATAGATGAGAAAACAGCTATTCTCACATCGCCGGTATTTTCGTATTTTGATTCGTTTTCTGCTAAAACTTTGAGAATTTCATTCGCAAATTTTTAAATTTTTGTATTTCGAGTTTTTAAAGGATTTTAGAGAAATTCTGTCTGATTTATTTCTAGAATCAAAAATTCTGTGCTTGGCACTTGAAACGGCCAGTAGTTTACTAATGAATCATATCGAGCACGTTTTCCAATAGTACAGTTGCTTACTGTGCCATTTTCTCTTTTTATTTTCTCTCTTTCGTAGTTCTGACCAATACTGCATCTGTTAGTGTTCTTCAGTATCCGAGCGATCCTCACGTACTTCCCTCAGAGGTTCTCTCGATAAAAGCACTTTGATAAGCGTCTTCCACTCGGAGATACATTGATGTACGTTGAGCGTGACTGCTTTGTTTTTTTTTCGTCTCGCTTCCAGACACGTTGAAGTACCATGCCATCTGGAGACAGATATTTTATGTAAACGCATATATATGTATATATTATATAGTGTTTTTTGATCTTCTAGTCACGTCATGTATGCAGTTCTGAAGAAAAACTAGCTCTCTTCCAGGTCTATCGCATTCTCAATGATCTATATGCGAAAACGTGTACAAGCGTAGCTGCAACAGTGAATGAGAAACAGTTCCGTGATGCATATGGAATGCTTATTGATGAAGCTCTCGAAACACTTCGAGCAGCCAAAAGTGAACCACGCAAAGCATGGGCACCTTTCAGACAAGTCAGATTTTTAACATTTTTGTGGATCTCGAAAAGGCGAATCTAGTTTCTTAAGCATAGTTTGTGTGTTGCGTCCCTCTTTTTCGTCTTGCTATGGCCCCTGCAGCTCCA